ACACATGTATTAGTATAGATAACATAAGATAAGTAATCCTTTATTAGCCCCACTGCGGGGAGAGTGTTAGTGTTACAGAAGCGAAAGAGATGCAATATCAAATAGCATCAGTAAACGGTTAAAGGCAAAAATAAAATGAGTATATATTATAAGCAAAGAAATAAATGATAGAGATTGTGATGAGGATTTCAAAAGATATTTCCAGCATTTTTTTTTTTTTTTAAATGTTGTTTTGCTTTTAAACCTTAGATCTCTTTTTGTACTCTACTTTACATATTAACCACTAAACAGAGAAGATATTTTTTAAATGATTCACTTTGGTCAGGTAGCCTCAGCCAGTCCATTTTAAAAACATCATGACATTAATATCACTCAGTTATCAGGTCACAAATCAGTACCATCAACATAAACTAAGCTTTGAATATTTTTAGGATTTTATTTGTGGTTAATGAATGGATACTTCTCAATATCTGTTCTTGAGGTTTCCAAGAGAAATTATTATTATTATTATTATTATTGCCCACCCCTCCTTTCGCAGTGATATGGGGGTGAAGGGGTATGCAGTGTAGATCTGTTGGATGCTGGACAGGGTGTAAGCGTTGAGGCCATAAAGCTCTGATCTCCTCTCTGCAGGCATGATCATCCAAACCATGGTGTTCTTCCTCTGCCTTCTGGTCGCCGTCTTCCTCATCATCATGCCGATACTGCACGGAGAGAATCTGATCCTTTTTCAGATCCTGTTGAGCATGTGGTGAGTGTCGTCACATTTCTCACTCTCTGTCCACCGACTGCATGACTAAGGTAGTACAACACGCTGTTGTCAAATTATTTCAGTTTCAGTTCTATTTGACTTAACCTAAAAAATGCATGTTGGTTAATGCTAGTTAGTTCTTGAACATTTGAAACCTAAAACTGTTTAAATCAACAACAATAACATGATACCTGTATGGTGCACAGAAAAGGCTTTTAGTCATATATTGTTCTGTGGGTTGAAAAACGTTTTTTAACCTACAATAACATCGTTATTTATTAAGAGATGTCTAATGGTTGATTTGTCTCCCTTTAGGCCCTTTTGGCTGATGATTGTCTTGGCTGTGCTGATTCAACATCTCACTGGCAGGTTTTGCTTCATCAAAAAAATTGCAGGCACACGAGACTTACACAACCGGTGAGTCACTATACTTGTTGTTGCTGCTATGTATTCTCTCTTGTTCAGTTGTTTTATGGTTTTTAATTGCAGTCTGGTCCGGTATGTTTAACCTATCCTGTGTTACAGGGGCAATTTGTTCCTGCTGACGTACCTGCTGTTTCCTGTCAATGTTCTGATCGGGGTGCTGCTGGCAGTGTGGCGCATCATCATCACAGCCCTGTTCAACATCGTACACATGGGGCGCATGGATATCAGTCTCCTTAACCGCAACGTGGAGGCGTTTGACCCAGGTGAGAGGGACACTGCCAAGGTACAGATGGTCATCATGATGTCACTGTCTGGTTAGCTGACCAGGTCAAAGTGTCACATTTAATATCATCTGCATTCAAATCGGTTTTATTGTTTATGTTCCTACATGTTTCCTTTTTACTCTCAGACACACGATGTTAACATATTCACTGGTATTAGCATTATGCTTTTACCCTTGTATATGCCACTGTGGTTGTTTCTCACTGTGGAGGCTTAAAGAGAAGCAATTTACTATGAGCAAATGCACTTTCACTGATCCCACTTACAGGCCAGAAATGCGTATCCTTTCCACTTTCCCCTTCCAGCAGCTCACTGCAGCTTGTATGATATCTGTGTGCAGTGCACGGGACTGTAATTGCACACCGATCTCTGAAATGGCTGCAGATTTAAGACATCTGTTGTCAGGAAAAGCAGGTGGTTTAAAAAGAAAAAAAGGTGTGATTCTATGGCCTATTATGTGTGATTGCCTCAAAGCCTACATGGGGTGCAGTCCCATGTGTTTATTGCTTTTGCCCAGTCAGAGTAACCGCCCCCCCCTCCCTCCTGTGTCTGTCCACAGCCTACCGCTGCTATGCTCATTATCTGAAGATAGAGGTGAGCCAGTCCCACCCGGTGATGAAGGCCTTCTGCGGGATGCTGCTGCAGGCCGGGGGCCAGGAGAGTAGTTCTCCACAGAGGGCACGGGACGCTGAAGAGGGTCTGTAGCACCAAACCATACAGACTTTTCCTGAGTGCTAATGATTCGAATCACAATGCATTCAGTGTATTCATAACTTAAGATAATAATAATTGAGTTGTTCTTATTATCAACGAAACCCATGAATAGACCAAAAGCAACGTTCCTAAAAAAACTGGTCACACATACTGTATATCGTTTTTTTTAAAAAGGGTTGGTTTCCAAAACAGTTGTGGTTTTAAGCAGACGTTCCTGCAACATATGTAAATAGTGCATTTGTTTGAAAATATTTTCAATTGGTATTAACATTTGGTGCTTTAATGCCTATAAACAGCAGCAGGAAGCTTCACGGGGAGTTCATTTTAAATATACTACAGTGTCGATGTTTATTGTTCTAAAAGAACACACAGGCAATTCTTGTTGAAGGATAACCTCATTGTTGGATTTGGTCTTCTTCATGACAAATACTCAAATTTAGAATATTGCCAGCCCTTTGCTTTGGAGATAAACGGTAGATTTACATTGATATTAAGGTTTTAATTTCTCCAGAGAGGTTTAGAATTCAGTGGCAGGTCACTGTAACACATAATCAGATCATCACACTGTTTTGCACGCACAGAAGAAATGAAAGCTTAGCCGTTGTGATTTAATATGTCAGGAGCAAATTGAGTCTTGTGTGGAATAATTTACAGTCCTGCTGCTGGTCTCAATCAGATCTGTCATAAACTAATCAGCTGTCCTTCACAGCGTGCCCACACTCACTGAGCCCTTGGCCTCTGTCTACAAGAGACAGTAGAGTCCTATAGGTCCCCATTATACATGATAATCCCCCAATGTATCATTTATGTAATTTATACACAAATATAAATAGCTACATTAAGGCTGGTTGCTGATCTTCAGTGATGGTATGGGCTCAAACAGGAAGTGATAGTCGCCTACACGTGTGGTGACGAGAAGACATACATTATAGTGACCAATTAGCAGGAAAATGCATCAGCCTTCATTTGTTGTTGTGGAATTCAGCTCTACACAGCTGAGTCCAATTACACATGTGCAGTGGAGTTGTTGTTTGCATCCAAAGAACAATGCATTATCAGAAATAATCTATTGTATTACAGACATTAGTTCTCGCGTAGCTGATTACACAGATGAGCTATGATAATTGCCTGTTTCGTATTCATGTGGCCCAAGGGGCTTAAGCTTTCAGTGTTAATGGCATGCCCATATGCTCCCACTATGCTTAGAGGATTAGAATATGATTGCTTTCTATTATTACTCTCTCTGTAGTTTCTAGTTGGTCCTTGGTGGCCTCCAAGTACTGTTCCATTTTAGAAAAGATAAAAACAAATCTTATAGGGCTTATACGTGACATACCATAGGTGCTATCATGATGTTTAAATATCCTCAGGGATCCAGCTGGTCAATCAGGAGAAGAAACAGCACAAAGTGTCCACTGCAAAGAGGGCCCGCAGGCACTGGCAGCTCCTCTACACACTGGTCAACAACCCCTCCCTGGTGGGCACCAGGAAGCACTTCCAGCGTCAGACCACTGAGAGCTTTCTGAATGGGAGCCTCAACCGCAGTGCCAAGGACGGGAGCAAAAAGGAGGCAGCAGCCAAGGAGACGGAGGCGGCTGCCAGCAACTAAACACAAATGTGACCCTAAGGATAGGTACCAAGTCTTCTGGTTTTTGGGCTAATTCGACACCGAAATAAGTGCACTTATTACAATTCAGCGCCACATTTAGAGAAATCAATCAAGCCTTTCCTGTCTGGAGATTGTGTTTCCACTTTGTGCTCTTCATGTTCCCCTGATGTGTATGTCTCTCCAGTCTGATAGGAAAGCCTGTGTGGCTGACTGATCTCGTCCAAACACACTCATTATGTGCCATTCTCAACACGTTTGTGTGCTTATTTTGGGAGAGCACTTGTTTGCTTTGTGTTTCAACCTGTAGGTTAATCACATAATTCCGGTTTTATCATATACTGCAGATAATTCAGATTTGTAGTCGCCCAGACTGAACACACAGACATGCATTTCAATGAAGCGTCCCTTTTTTCAGAGAGTATTAATATGTAGAACATTTAACTATTTATGAATTTACATAATGAGCTCTTTTCAAAACAGGGTAATACATTCCTTTGTTTCCCAATTGTACACATTTGGTGCAATTAAATAACCTGTGGAATAGGAACTACCAGACTAATTAAAGTGTTTGTTTTTCTGTTTTATTTGTAGATATTTAAATCCAAATCCACTTGCTGCTAACAGCGTTTTCTTATTGTTGTCTTTTATGGTTTCTGATATTCTACAACTTTACATCGTTATTTCTCTACATCTAAATATAAAACGGCGACTGAAAATACGAACAGCCGAATTGTCCTTCTGATTACTGTGAAAATAAATGCCAAACAAAAGGTTCTCTTTTTATTGAAATATGTGTTTCTGGCAGGTTGATTTAAATGCATGGTGTACGGATGATGCTTTGTGTTGCGAAATGAACTGTACAGGGCCAAAGTGAAGACAAAGGGAGGCTTTGTGTTGATCTCCGATTTCAAACGCAGCAGTTTTTCTTTTTACCTCTTTCTTCAACACTCTTCAAAAGCCTGTCTATTGTTTTATATTTGATCAAACAAATATGACAGACCTGAAACCAGATCGTATGATTTAAAAAAAAAAGCACGAAAGAAAAAACGCACAACAATTCAATTAACCGGGCTGAATCGTTTTTAAATCTAACTGCTGGTATAGATTGTATTTTTTTTAAAACAATTATTATTTCAGAAAGGCCTACATTAAATAATAGATTATTTATTTCTTGAAATAATCCGCAAGGTCCAAGACAAATCAGGAAAATAGTCGGTATAGTTTCATGTTTTATTAATTCCACTTACATAAAATGATATCAAAAAATCTTGAAAGGTCACGGATTTTGTTTTTAGTTTCGTTTTACAACAGTTCACAAAAACTCACTATATCCAATTACAAGACAGTCAGTGCGCCCTTTCGTTGAGGCTTCATAGAAACTTACCGTAAAAAAAATAATAATTTAAATTCACATGGCTTTACATCACAGTTAGACAGTAACATCTAAAGTCCTCTACACTACACTAATAAAAACCACACAAGGAAATACGTGTGACATGCCATGGACACGTTAATTGTAAAAAGCGAGAGGATAGCAAGCACCCGTGGATGAAGAGGTTAAAGTCGCACATTTTTAAAGCCTTACATTACGTCAAACAACATTTTGTTGGTATATAACATGGGATTTCCCGTGAAGCACAACACAGTTAAGAGTGATATTTTCATTTTTGGACTCACATGATAGTGGGCAAATCAGCACCGACACCCATGTGTGAGCTAGCATCATTTAATGAAACATCTTCATCCAAATCTGCGACTGGATGCGTAAAGCGGAGCCGGAGTGGCGACACCTGAGGAGATGGTAACTATGAGATTTCTTTCTCATCCACATCAGACCCAGTTAAGAAAGAGCAATTGGCCCCAGGTGTGAGTTTTTTTTAAATCGCTTTAAAACATATGGCACTTTTTGTTTTTGTAATCTCCAAAACGGTGATTCAATATCTGTTTCTCCTTTCAGTTACGCGTAACTCCGGCAAACTCCGCACCTCGACGTGTGCACAATATTGCCCGTGTGTCACTGTCCTGCAGAAAGAGAACATTTTTGCTGCTTTCCTGTCAGTTTCAAGATCTTATAAACTGTAGAAATATGTGCTTGTATTGTAAACGTGTTGCTTATTTTAACCGTACAGTAGACTACAAATGCCACATGAATCAAATCACAATCTCAGGTGATCGACGGACTACTTTCTGAGGTAAATTTTTTTACAAGATCCACCTTTTTTATGCATGATAAGCCATCGTTGTTCACGTGAATAAATGGTGGGTGAGTTACCTGCTTGGATGTAAGGCTACTTAAAGTAAAATATGTTACAGTGTACTCGCAGAGCTCAGCGGCTGGGCTGCTTGTAGTTCCCGTTGATCTCCTCCGAGATGTTGACTGCCTCTGCCCCCAGCGGTAACCTGTCACTGTACTCCGAGCCCACCTCAAACTCCTCCGGGTTGGTTTTGGATGAGGATCCGGGGATGGACGTCACCACGCTCCCATCAGCCTCTCCGTCTCCGTCCTCCCCATCGGCCTCCCCCTCCCCCTCTCCTAACTCGCTGGGGTCGAAGGTTTTCTCTGACTCCACAAAAGACGCCCTGGGATCAAAATCTCCAGTCATTTGTTTCTCCATCTGGTCCGGATTCTGAGCCTTCATGATCAGCTTGTAGGTCTTCCCTTGGTATTTGTACAACAAATGGCAGCAGGTGGCCCCCAGTAACGGAACAGTGGCCAGGCCCAGTAGGAAAATGCTGACAACCACAATGATGAGCAGGGAGGGGATCTTCTTCCTGGTTGTGAACACTACTTGGACTTGGCAGTCCTGTCCCCCATAAGTCAGACAAAGTGTGTAATTGGTGCCAGGCTGTAAACCATGGAAGCGGTAGGCGTTAACCCCCTCCTCTATATTGGACCACTGAACCATGGAGTGTCCATTGCCTGTATTTACACAGAGGTACAGCATGTCCAGTGTGGTTTTACTGGTCGAGGACTGTAACAGCCCGATGGCTTCTTTATTGACTGTTTCCTGGTTTTCAGTGTGGCTCAGATGAAGGTTAGATTTGCTGCTGGGAAGCTGCAGGGGATTCAGCTGCACTTTGGCCTCTGTCTCCGACACTTCTAATGCAATAACACCAAAATCAAACGTGTACTGCTTCAGGTCATCCAAGCTCAGGTTGAAGGCGTGGTTAGTGATGTATTCACTGCTTTCTCTCACGCCACACTTGCTTGCAAAGTTGGGGTTCTTTGAGCCATCGCCCTGCCCCGTCACAGCATTTTTGTCTGATGAGTCAGCACCGCCCTTTGTCTTTTCGTCAGGCTTGGTCCAGTTTATGTCATTAGTTTTGGACATCTTGGGCTCTGGCTTTTTTACAGATGGACGGATCTTGTCCACCGTTGAATCGCTGCCACTTTTCGGGGTGCCTGTCATAGCCAGTTTAACACCGCTCTCTGCCTTACCTAAATCATTCACCGCAGAGCAGCTGTAATTCCCATCTTCTTTTTTGCTCATGTGAGGGATGATGAGAGAGCCGTTTCTAAAGATGAGGAAACGATTGTTGGTCGTTTTATCATTAATTGGCACATCATTTGCCTCTCCAGTAGAGGGCAAGGGGAACAAATTATTCTGATTTCCTGCAGTGACCTCCCAGCTGACCTGTGGTGTGGGGCTGCCTAGTGCCTCACAATTTAAGATAACCATTGAACCCTCGTAGAGCTCAGTGTTCTCAATGTTGGGCTCGTAGGAGATTTTGACAGTGGGGGCTTTGCAATCCAGTTTGGGAATCAATGTAACCATTGTGCCCTTCAGGTGTTCAGGGGCCTCGCATGAAACTAAATTTGGCTCTGGGACAGAAATCTTTGTTGTCAGAATCCAATCCCTCAGCCACTCCAGGCTGCAGGAGCATGTGAAGGGGTTGTTAAAAATCTGAAGGTGTGACATGGAGGTGAGAGCATGAAAGGTGCCCTGCACGATGGTGGTGAACTTGTTGTTGTTGATGCGCAGCGACCTCAGGTCTTTGAGAGTGGAGAAGGCGTCCTTAGGAAGGCTCAGCATCTCATTGTTGTTCATTTTGAGAAGCTGCAGGGCTGTAAGGTTGAGCAGATCCTGCCACGGAAAGTTCACAATTTTGTTGTAGCTGATGTCCAGGTTGCGGAGCTGGACGAGGGCGGCCAAGGTGTCCGTTTCTATGGTAACTATCTCATTGTGGGCCAGCCAGAGAGAGGTGACCTGCGTGATATTGATGAAGCTTTTACTTTTCAGTATTTTGATTTTATTGGCAGAAAGGCTCACGGTGGTAACGTTGGAGGGCAGACCCAGGGGGACCACCAGCAGGTCTTTGTAAGCACAGTCAGCAAACTGGTGGGCAAATTTATCCTGGCAGCTGCAGAGCTCTGGACAGCACTGCACAACGCCGACCACTATAGTCCACAAGGCGAGGAGCTGAAGGAGCCGTCCCGCCATTTTCTGCACCTGCAAGCATCAATTATCACACATTAGGCACATTTTTAGAAGGCAAGAACATAAGCTCCATTATGTCCATTACACCAGCGGACATGCAATGGGAAAGCATTTATATCTAATATCCATCTGACACTGAAAACAAAAACAACCAAAGACAAATAAACTGCTGATGTCTTACAATCTGATACTGATGATCACATGCAAAGTTTATTTTTTAAATTACAGGGCACCATGCATTGCAAAAAAACGGCATGTTCACTTTTTAAAGCACACATGCACATATGCTGTGTATCATGTTTGCAGCAATTTCAGGGAAAGGTGTTCTCTCAGCGCGCCTTCACCATCCGTTGCGGATATACTGGCAATATTAATGGTGATAAAACATTGAATTTTTGCATTGAATCAAAACCATTTGACTTTAAGAAATTAAAGTTAAATTGCTAAATTAACATTATCAATCTGCACAGCTGGTATTTTGCTCTCATTATCACAAGGGCATCTGTCCTTGTGATTCTGTCATGGTTTTGGATTTATGTTTTCATTTTCCACCTTTTAAAAAAAAATGTTTTCCTCTTTGTGTCTTGTCTGGTCCTACTTCCTGTGTTTGCCTTCCTGTCTTAAAGGTCCCATGTCATGGCCATTTCCACTGATCATAATTCCATTGTTGAGGTCTACTAGAATAGATTTATATTGTGCAATTTTGCAAACTCACATGCAGGCGTCGACAGCAATGATGAAGGGCGGTGGAGGGAACATTTTCCCGGTGAGTAGCTTTTTCGGTCCGTCGCTTTTTTCCTCTCCAGCGAGTGTGAGATCCACTGCGCGTTCTCGATGCCGTGGAGCGAGAAAAAGAAACCGTGCACGCGCAGCCTCTCCCATCTCTCTCCTCACTATTAAAGATACAGAAGCTCCGGGTCCTCCACCCTCAAAGAAAATTCATAATTCAGGATCCTATGTTTTATTTATTACCCCGACCCAAGCCTAATCTTTGACCTCATTCGGTGTGGCTGCAGACTATTGTTTTTAATTAAAGGACAGGACAGCAGCTTCCATAAGACAGGATTTAAGTTGAGTTGTGTTGAGAGTGCCAGGCTTACATTTCCAGCATTGCTCGAATATAAATACAACGACAACAAAAGCCAACAAACAAACAAACAAACAAGCAAACAAACAAACAAAAAAGACCATAGGCTGAATTCAGAGGAAACGTATAGAGAAAAGACCCATAATCTTCACATCACATCAGATAAAGATAAATTGATTGCATTTAATTATATTATGTGACACTAGCCAAAGTCAAGCTTTAGTGAATGGTACAACTGGATGTGGCATAAAAACTAATAGTAACGTCTTTATGGAATTGTTATTCTCAAATGTTGTCAATCGCAAACATAAAGCTCTATATTTATTTTAAGCTCAGTCACTGGTCTATTTGTAATGTATATGGTCACTTATGTCTACTTTATTATCTTTACAAAAAAAAAAATACAAGTCATAATTGTTGCTCAAATGTTTATATCCTGAGGATTAGTATCCGAGGGCATTTGTTTTCTTGCTCAAATACTGCCATCGTGTGGTGTACTGTGGTATGCACACAGCTAGTTTAAACAACAAACCACTAAGCCTAAAGTGCCCAGTGCAAAACACTAATTCAATGATTAGTAAGAGAATATTTTCATGAATCTATTCTTTGAGTCACACTTGCTTAACTTGAAGAGTTAAGCAAGTGTGAATCTATTCTTTGAGTCACACTTGCTTAACTTGAAGAGTTAAGCAAGTGTGACTCAAAAGCAATAAGGTTGAATCCTTAGTTCATAGCTTTGTCTGAACTTTTGGAGATATCAGTTTCTGATTGCGAGTTGCATATAAGAACTGGTAAAATAGCAGGGTTTCCCACACATAGACTTTACTTGGGCGGGCCGCCCAGGTATATTAACGGCCACCAAAGTATAATTCGCGAGCCATTTAGGTTGAATTGTTTTAATTCGTCCGCGTGCACGACGGCATAGTGATCTCTCGCTCTACCCCTCGCTATCCCAGTAGGGCCTGGCTAATTTCGTGGCATCTGCAGGCAGTGGCAAGTACTTCCGGCATCTGCCACAGAGGCCGCTACTCCGTGGTATCTGTGGCAAGTATATGCCACAGATGTGGTATCTGTGGCAAGTATATGCCACAGATGCCACAACTTGCCGTGGCAAGTATATGCCACAACCATGCCACAACTTGCCGTGGCAAGTAGGCCTATATGCCACAACTTGCCGTGGCAAGTAAATGTCACAAGTTAAGAGAAGGTTTATGGTAGCTGCCACTCGCCTTCCGTGGCAAATGCTGATATTTAAACCCGTAGCCTATTTATCGCGTAAAATGTTGCTGTTTTGGCATGACTTTATCCGACTGATTTGTACACAAGACTGATGATCTGTTACTGATGGTCCGATCTCTATTTTTCAAAAAGATTAAACATTATATGTTCTATAGAATTTACTTGGAGAACGTGGTTTGTTAAAATAAATAAACGTGCTATTTTTATGATAATACTCAAGATATATTATTAGTAAGTTGACATAAAGATCTAACATTGTTGACCAGAGGTGGGAAATAGGCTAACTTGTATACTCAAGTACTGTACTTGTGATTTAGAAATAGCCTACTTGTGCTTTAGTTGAGTATGTAAATGGTATGTTACGTAGTCTTACCCCACTACAATTCAGAGGTAAATTGTGTAATTGTAGCCTACTCCCCTACATTTATTTAATACGCTACCTTTAGTTACTTACTACAGATTCTGATTAATGATGATACATATAATCAAGTCTTAAATCAGACTTTATAGTTACTCCTGGAGTAAATTCACAAGATACCCTACTACAGTATACAAAGTCATTAAAACTAGCTGCACCTTTACCAGCTTTGANGAAAAAAAGGACTTGAAGTCCTTAGAGAAATGTGTCTCCCTGGTCGTACCACTACATCTTCTCTGTACTTCTTCTCCTGTGTACCACTACAATCTCTCTTTGTACTTTCTTTTCTTCCCTTAAAAACGTATCCACTGAAATTTTACCCTATCCATTAAAACCTCTTGGTCGAGCTCACGCGATCTTAAGCTTTTTGTGTCGGCTTTTTTTAGACGGTGGAGGAATGTCTCGGGGAGGAGGTTGTGTGTGTTGCGCGTTTACTGGTTACTCCCGTGCTCTATTCAAAACACGTGTCTACCTTCCCGCTGTCCGTTCCATCCGGGTAGGTCAATAAAATCGCGCCCGCCGAGTCTACTAACCAGCACGAAAAATGTCATGAGTCGCCGATGGTGTCTAGCTTCAACAAAAATACATAACTGAACAGTTTCGTAAATTTAAATAATAACGATAGCCTACATTCTCCGGTAAGGTATTTTATTGTGTTTTCACAAAGACTCACTTATCGGATCGGATCGAAATTCCAGCACAATTGTGTCCACTTCTGTAAAATTTACAGACACATTACTATGAAAATTTCGTATTCGTGTCTTTGTAGATGGCGGAATCGAACCGCCACGTTTCAATTTGACTTTCGGAACATTGCTCTACATCAACAAATTATCAAAATCGAAATGAAGCCTTCTTAACGAAATGGTATTACCACGTATTAGTATTTGTATCCAACCCGGTGCTCAAAAACGCTTAAGCGTTGACTACGTTTGTTTAGTGTAACCAAAAACTGTTCCCAGCGGGCATCATGACATTTCTTCGTGCTGGTTAGTAGACTTCGGCCGGGCCGATTTTATTGACCTACCGGATGGACGGACAGTCGGAATGGAGACACGTAGTATTGAATAGAGCACGGGAGTAACCAGGTAAACGCGCAAGACCCACAACCTCCTCCCCGAGACATTCCTTCACCGTCTAAAAAAGGCGACACATAAAAAGCTAAGATCGCGTGAGCTCGACCAAAGAGGTTTTAATGGAATAGGTAGAAATTCTGGGATAATAGTTTTAGGAGAAGAAGTACAAAGAGATGTAGTGGTACACAGGGTAGAAGAGTACAGAGAAGATGTAGTGGTTTACCACAGGGGAGACACATTTCTCTAAGACTTTCAAAGTCCTTTGTTCCTAAGAGAGAGGAAGAAACAGGCACTAGGTAAGTATATTTGTGGACAGACTTTTACTCGACTAGTCTAAAACCTGGAAATACTCCAGTCTTTCAAAAAAACGCTGAACACATTGTTAATCGGTTAGTCGTCGGTTTTCATAATAATTCATCGGAATAAGCGAGCCCTGCGGGACTTGAGCTCGGCTCCCGCAGGTTTTTATAATTATTAAGCTTCTCTTCTAGCTCTCAACAAATAGTGAACTTATCTGCTTTTCCTTTGCCCTGTGCCTGTAGGAGACAACCTCCCCGGTTTCAGACCACCCTAAGAAAAAGCCTCATAACTTCTAGCAAAGGGGCTGTAGCTTCCACGATGTCCGCTGTTGTGCCTTGTACGGCGCTAAACCTGCCGCTACTCGCCCACCAAAATCACCTCGTGCGCGCACTCGACGCTCGCGGCCCGGGCGTTGCCGCTATGACTCCGAGGCACCATTTGACACCATTGTTACTTCTCGGCAAACCCTCGGCTGTTGTGCGGCCGCGAAATTCTCTCGGTTCGGTTTACTAGGCGAGTGATTGCATTTTGCTGTCATAGATCATTCCCTGCCGAGTTCAGTTTTAAAGTTTTTTGTTGGGGGGGGCGGAGAGCCCACCTGGCCGGGGAGTCGGACCCAGGACGCGCCGTTTGTGACCAAAGGCAATAGGCTAGTTAATGACCGTTAAAAAATTCGTACTTTTAGACAATTTACGTGGTAAAATATAGGGAGGGCGAGGTATTACAGGCTAAACAATATGTAATTTTGTACTACGTCTCCCCTACACGACTCCTAATATATAAAGATGACCGAAGTGTATTGTGTGTCGTAACCGCAACACACTCAGTCGTTCCGCCACTCGAAAAACAGGAACCCTAACACACCTAACAAACAAGGCAAAAACCTGGCTTC